TGTTCATCCTCCTTAACAAGTATTTTGGCAAGAATGCAGATCAAAGTTTCATTCCAGTAAATCCAAATTCTCAGCTAATTTGTATGAACTCTGACGCAAACTATATAATAAAATATATCTTGTTATTTACGAGCTCACTTGATTAAAAACTACAAATTACATTTAAATGTCCAGAAGCAATCTGGATGAAAGCTTCAATATGCACCCAAAACAACCCTCAGTTTTTACAAGAAAACTGATTACAGATTAAGCATTTTGCCAAAATATTCAAATGAATGAAATGAGTCAACAACAGAACATGCAAGTTTCTTATTACAAACTTATTCCCAGGTTCCTGGAATTGTTCTTCTCATTTTCCCACACAAGTTTATCGGAAACATAATTTCTTTCAAATGAACTTTAACCTGAAGAAAGACCATCTGGTCCCTATTTATTTACAAACTCAACCCAAAGGCGTGTACTCAGTTTCATGTATAATCCAGGACTTATCTTGTGGCTAAATATTGCTGGAGATGCTTTTTTATGGAGGGAAATAGTGAAGAAAAAAAAGGAAGATAAAAGCTGAGCTTGTTGAGAGTCCCTCTCAAAACCATTACTGAAGCTAATGGGTCTCTGGCATGTATAAATCAGAGCAATATTCATAATTAATTTCTTTCCAGTCCACTGAAGGGCACTGCCAGCATTTATCCACTCCGTGTTGTCTTTTAAAACGTGAATGGAATGTTCCTCATTCCCATCATTGCAGCAAATCCAGTATCTTGCTTTTACCTTTGGCACCACCACACAGAACAGTGGTTGTGTATCACTTCTGAATTGAATTAGGAAGAGAAATGCAATATCAAGGCACTATATAACAGGGGCTCCTTTTGCAGAAATAGAACCAACCAAACTGGGGGAAAAACACCATGCGGAAAAAGCCCTCTTAAAGCATAATTTAGGTGTGACTTTACTCCTGTGATTTAGGAAAATCATTGCAGCATGACCCTCCTTCCTTAAAGGATTTTGTATTTTAAATAAAATCCTAGGAAAATCATCATGAAACCATTCTCAGTCTGTAAGAAATAGTATTCAAGTCATTAACCTGATTACCATGACCACATTCTATTCTTGACACACACTCAGAGAGCCTTCATGAATTCTGTGTTACCATGTTATGAGACCGATCACAGCATTTAGACTTCAGCAACCAACATTTGCTAATTCTGGTGACTTGATCCAAGAGCAGATAATGCCAAAGTGACCCTGTTCCAGGAGCCACCGTGCTCTGTACCCCACTGCACACGTGAACTCTCTATCTGAAAGATAATGGGCATAAATTCTGTTTCAAGAAGCTCTGTATCTAAGTTAAACATGTGATTAAGTGTTTTACATGGCACAGAGTTTCATAGTTAGGGTACTATTTCAAGTGTGTATTTAGTGGACTCTGAAAACAATTCCAAAATAAACTTTAAAGTGATACAAGAAAGTACATTTTAAAATGTAATCTGGTCCTTAACTTTCAAAGTGACTCCCAGAAGGACTTCCACCACTGATTCAACAACCACTCTCCCATCTCCAAACCACCTCTAGGATACTGGTACACCAATAGGAACTTCTGAGACAAGAGAATCAACATCCAAATTGATAATGCATAAAGCATAATTTTTGTCAAGTAGCAGACTTTCAATTTAGCAGCACCAAAACCTGCCCATGCAAGAACCTGGAAGCCAGTTGGAACAGGAGCTCCAAAACATTTGGGCATCACCAAAATCTACAGACCAACATAAATCACCACAAACTTGCAATCTTCAACATCTCATCGAATAAAAAGAAGAGTAGAGACTTGTTTGTTCTTTTAGTAGTCTGTTGGAGAATTAAACACCTTACTCAAAAGTGCAAGTTTTAAACTGACAGATTCCACGTCACATGTAATTCCTGAAGAACAGGAAGCAGGAGGCAGCAGAAACCCCCTGATCTCCAGAGCTGCTGCTACAGAACACACATCACCAAACTCTTATCTGGAAGCAAAGTTGTTTTTCTCTTCCTGTTGACTGAAATGTGATTAAGTCACATTTTAGCATGTGACTTAGTATTGATAGTTTAAATTTTCTTTTCTGATTGTACAGAAGCTCAAAAATACTGCTCAAACAAAAGATGCTTCTGTGTAAAAAGGTATTACAAGTTCTATTTGCATTCATAAGTTGCTCTGTTTTAGACAAAGCTGCTTTCCAACTCTTTTCAGTCTAAACAGAAGCTTCAAAATTTGTCTCAAGCATTTCATGTACCAATCTGAGTCTCCAACATAAGCCACCACTAAAAAACTCTCATTGCTCTTTCAAAAAACCTTTGTCCAGGAAGTTTTATATTCTGGCAAGACAGTTCAAAGCATTCACCCTTCAGGCAACGAGAGACAACCTCTCTCTCTTTCCACTCTGTTACAGTGGCTGTTTGTTTGCCTTAGAGCTTTCCCATTTTAATGTTATTTTTTAACTTGAATCCTTCACTGTAGTATTACTTAGGATGAGAAGTAAGAAAGAATAGAGACTTAGAAAAAGGCCTCACACATTAATTACAGTTGCTTTACTAAGAGTCTCTCACCCATGACAGTTCCCTCTCCTAGTCCTGTGCCTTTCCCTAGTACCAATACAGTCTTTTTAACAATTCCTGTAAAAGCAGATAAATACATGTATTAAAATACACTGTCAGCTCTTCACATAAAGTTTCTATTGAGACAAAATGGTTTTTTTTTGAAAGAGAACTCTGATAGAAAGAGTGCTTCATCCTCCCTGTACCCAGACTCCATAAAACCTTCCAAATCCAGTACTACACAAGGGCTGTCGAGATAAACCAAGGAATGCTGAACCTTTCCTCTTGGTATTTTCCATTTCCTTGAATTAGACAAAATGCATTCTGCTTTTTCCTAAACAGTTATTTGCGTGTCACTGGGCAAATGGATCCCTCTGTTTCTTGTATGAGCTGCCACAGCAAAAGCAGGAGCAAACTGAGCAGTGAGATATCTGCTGGATCTCTGTATTCCCTGGGGAATGTTTTCACTGCATCATAACAGCATTTGCTTGCCAGAGTCCTTTGGGAAACTTGCTGTTTACAGTGGAGCAGACTGGCAAGGCTGCTCTGAGGGCTCACAGGCAAAGTGAACACCCAGGAAGAGCTTGTTTGGAAGGAGCTTTCCTGAATTCCACGTGAGTGGGGATGGGAATAGCAGTTCCAAAACTGACACTCCTCCAGTCCACACCCACTACAAACCTCTGGGATGAAGTGAAAACACAGATCCTGCTGGCTGAGAGAGACTGAATACAGCACAACAGCAAATACAGGGGTATCCTTTTTGCACTGATCTCATCTGGGCACAGAATTAAGGCAGAAGGTGGCCAGGAAAAAAGAAAATTCTGTGGCTCATCTGGATCTCACAGGCTCGATTTTGGTTCAAAAAACATACTGTAATTCCTAAAATACACCATAAACATATATATGATAATCCACAACATTTAAACATTTTGTACATTAAATTTGTTTTGCATTACAGACTATGTATCAGAAGAGAATTCATTAATAAAAAGTTTCTAATCTGAGCACATACAATACTTCATTTTTATTTCTTCCTTAGTTCATTTCACTGCATGTCCCATTGCTGCCTAAAGATAGAATGTGCTGGGGGAATGCTGCTAATTAGTGCTTTGGATATAAACAAACTGTTGCCTACCAGAAAGCACAGCAAGCAGTTCCCTGTGATCCTGTTCAGAAGAGGTCTAGGCCCCTTCTTGATTCTGGATGAGAACATCATCAGTTTACACCCAAAGATCGACCAAATCTCTCTTTGACCTTAATTAAAGGGCTAAAATATGTTATCTCAGGTGGTTACCACTGTCTTTGTGCATCAAAACCCAATAGTGATAAAGATGACAGACTAGATATTAAATCCCTTCATTATTTCTAGAAGCATCCTTCTGAATATTGTGAGGAATTCACATGTCTGTGAAACCAGCTGCATGCAAATATGAGCCTATGCTAAATACTCATTATTAGAAACATCCAGAAAACATGTGGGATTCATTTAGTTTTTATAAGATTATCAGCCTGACCAAACCATGGACAAAACATCTCAATCCTGCATCTAATGATCTGGTTACATCCATCTATCAACCAAAATTTAGATGCAGACAAAAGACCTCATTAAAAATAAATTAGGATCTGCCAAGAGGAAACAAAGCCATTAGGACTAAAGCAATCCTCTAGAAAACAAAATGAGCACTGAGAGCAGCAAAAATCCACATCACCTGCACTTTATGTTTTACCCAATATCAGGGTGCTCACTGAAAAATAGCTTTCTAAATGTGGCAACTATCACCACAAATCTTGACGATAATAAAGGTAGTGATGGGAGAAAAAGAGCATTTGCAACTTTTAGCTACAAAGAAACCAAGCTAATGAGATCAAAAGTGCAGTCAGCATTAGCCATTTCTACAATAATTCAGGTAACTGCTGAGAATTTTACAAAGAGTTTCTCCCAGTCCAAAAAACCCAAACAAAACAGCACCAGATGCTCTTTAAAAATACAGGGTTCAAAACACAACCTGAAAATACAGCCAGTTTAGGCACGCAGAGCAGGCACTGATAAAACACAAGCCATGTGCATTCAGGAAGAAAATACAACCAAACAAAAGCCCCAGAATCCCAAAGCAAAAACAAACACCCTTTTAAAAAGTGAAATTATAACCAAATATTTGAAAAAAAAAAAAGAAAATTCTAAGGTAGTTATTGCAAAATCAAATCTCATTTTTACACCTACTTAGAAACACTTTATTAAAAAGGCCATATAGAATTACTGCAGGCCATCATAGAACAGACCGCTTACAAGTCTAATTTCAATCTGGATATTCATATTAAAAACCCCACTTTACAGTAGTGGATGTGAATACAACTGTATGTATGGACCTGTACCTACAGATCTGCCTGTGGAGGTCACATGTGACCCCCTTGTTTCTAAAGCTGAAGAAACTCACCTTGTGACAAACTTCTGATTTAATTTCTTTGAGGGCACGTTCAGAGAACACACAGCCACAGTTTCTCAAGAAGCAAAACCTTTAAAGAAAAGAGGAGACACACAGTGATTTTAAAAAACCCTGTGCCCAAGAGAGCTGATTGAACACAGAGATAATACTGCGATGGGTTAGCAGCACACAACTAACTTTATTTACTAATTCTTGCACCTACTGTAACTATCAGCACCTTTAAGTGGGCAATTAATTTATTATTTGTTTGCACAACGTAAGACCAGAATGGAAAATATTGTGTACATTAAACCACAACATTTATTTTGTTATTTCATCCTCACAATCTCCTGGCTAATCACTGTCTGGAGGAAGAAATACTTGGCAACTATCAAGCTGTGAACCATCATCATCTCACCCATCAGGGTTAAGATGCACACACAAAGAAATTGCTGATCTGCCCAAACCAGGATGTGAGGAAATGCTCTGCCCCAGCCCAATAAAACCCAGATTATTGCAGGATTATGACAGACACACAATCCATCCAAACACAGGCAGAGGGTGAACGGAGCAGCTCTGCTGTGAGAAAGGCTGAGAGAATTGGGATTGTTCACCCTGGCTCTGGGGTGACCTAATTGCAGCCTTCCAGTGCCTGAAGGAGCTACAAGAAGGATGGAGAGAGACAGTTTACAAGGGCCTGGAGTGACAGGACAAGGGGGAATGGCTGCAAACTGACAGAGAGTAGGGTTAGATGGGATATTGGGAAGAAATTTTTCCCTGTGAGGGTGGTGAGGCCCTGGCACAGGTTGCCCAGAGAAGCTGTGGCTGCCCCATCCCTGGAAGTGTCCAAGGCCAGGTTGGATGGCGCTTGGAGCAACCTGGGCTAGTGGAAGGTGTTCCTGCCCATGGCAAAGGATGGAACTGAGATGATCTTTAAGGTCCCTTCCAGCCCACACCATGCTGGGGTTCTAAGTGCTTGATGTGACACAAAGGGAGGTCTCATCCAATCTCCTGTGGTTTGGCCCCCAAACATTGCCCTCTACTCCTTTGTTACACATCTAAAGTCATTTAGGAAAGGGTTAGCTTCTATCTTTCCTCTTGAACATGCAACGAAAGGACACTCAGTGGTCTCTTAAACTCTCTCCTGAAAGAGAGACAATCATTCCCCACAAAGGCCAGGGTAAGTGCATGATTTGCAGCACTATCCACTCAGATATCTGCTCTGTGCTCAGGTCAGCACAGTGCTCACTTCTAAACCCAAAATGAAACACTGACCTGTGTCTCCCATTCATCTCCAGCCCCACCACAGGGCAGATAAATCGTGCAGACTGCAGGTCATCATACTTGTCACCTTTTATACTCTCCTTATCCCCACTCCAGGCTGGATTATCCACAAGGTTCAGTTCTGTCACGTTCTGAAAAATAAAAATGCAGGCCTTGAGCTTTTTGCTCATGATTTGGAGCCATGATAACATTCTTTTTCTGTTGTGTTTTGGTACTTTTAACACTTTATTACAGGGTAAGAACAGAAGCAAAGTGAGGTTTTACAGCATGACTGAACTTACCCTCCTGTTTTTAACATTTCACTTTTAACATCAGACACAACCTGTTTACCTTGATGCTCTTGATGTGGGATGCAGATTCCATGGGGGTCTTATCAGGTGACTTGTCCAGCAGAAACTCAATGATGGCATCTTTGTTGTACAACCTGTAACAGCAAAATTCCAGCAATCACGTTTGATTGCTGTGGCTTTTGTATTTATAAATTTATATATATATTATTTTTATAATATTTCTACTCTTTACAATAACGATAATATTTAATTATCATTATTACTTCCCCCTGTGGGACCACCCCTACCTGCCCAGCTCACAGGCCACAATGGGCCGACGCAGCTTCTCCTGGCTCAGGGCACAGTAGAACCACCTGGCCACCAACTCAGCAACTTTGTCAACCTAAAGGCAACCAAAAAAAAAAAAAAAAAACCCACTCATTATTTTAAAACAGCTTTTATATTTGCAAATTATTTAAGTATAAAATCACGTAATACTCAAAGCATTAGTGAGATCCTCAGGTGTCTTACCAAACCTACCTTCTGCACTGTAAATTAATTCATAAAATAACTTTAGCAAGGCTGTTTAGCAACGTTCATGATCGGTTTTGGGGCTCTTCCTCTGCCTACTGACCCTGTTTCTGCATCATGGAACTTGAGACCTCTCTGCCTAAATCTAAATCAGTTTTTACACTTTTGTCACTTCCACCATTCCCCTCCTCATGCTTTTTTACTCTTCACATGTTCTCCACCACCCTCTTCTCTCTGGTTCTACATCTCAGCCCTACTTGGGTGAACTACCACTTCCACTCCCTGGATGGAATGAGGTGAGGAAGAAACCCTTCCCTGTGAGGGTGGGGAGGCCCTGGCACAGGTGCCCAGAGAAGCTGTGGCTGCCCCATCCCTTAAGGAGACCTCTGAACTCCTTGTATTCAGCAGATGGCAAGTCCCAAAATCACTGAGATCAGAACAGCCCTCCCAGCCTGCACCCAATCCCCTCCTTGTCCCCCAGCCCAGAGCACTGAGTGCCACAGCCAGTCGTTCCCTGGACACCTCCAGGGATGGGGACTCCAAACCTCCCTGGGCAGCCCCTTCCAATGCCTGACCACCCTTTCCAGAAAGAAATTCCTCCTGATGTCCAACCTGACCCTGCCCTGGGAAAACCCGAGGCTGTTTCTTTTGGTCCTGTCCCTTGTTCCCTGGGAGCAGAGCCCGACCCCCCCCGGCTCCCCCCTCCTGTCAGGGAGTTGCAGAGCCAGAAAGTCCCCCCTGAGCCTCCTTTTCTCCATGCTGAGCCCCCCCAGCTCCCTCAGCCGTCCCTGCTGCTCCAGCCCCTTCCCCAGCTCCGTTCCCTTCTCTGGACACACTCCAGCCCCTCAATGTCCTTATTGTGAGGGGCCCAGACCTGAACACAGCCCTGGAGCTGCGATTCCCCCCAGTGCCCAGCACAGAGGGACAATCCCTGCCCTGTGGTCACACTGCTGATACAGCCCAGGCACTGCTGGCCTTCTTGCCTCCCTGGGCTGCTGTTCGGTTGTCCTCAGCAGCACCCCCCTCCTCCAGCTTTCCCGCCGCTTCTCCCCCGTCCTGGAAAGCTGCCGGGGGTTCCTGTGACCCCAGCGCAGGGCCCGGCACTTGGCCTTGTTGAACGTCGTGCCCCAACTCCCTCAGAAGACAAAGGGCCCCCCCCTGCAGCCACATAGACAGACAGACACACAGTCACAGACACACACAGGTAGCCGCGGGCCGGCCCACGGCGCTCTCCCTCCCCCTGCCAGCCCCAGGAGCGCCACGCCCGGCTCTCCCTCCCCCCTCCGCTCCCCCAGAGCCCCCTCGGACCTTCTCGACTTTCCGGGGCCCTTTGACCAGCTCATGCCGCTTGGGGATGGTGCCGCCATCGCACCCCATCGCGCTTCCGGGTTCTCCTTCCCCCCCGCACTTCCGGCTCGCACAGATGACGTGTGGCCGTTGCTTAGCAACCAGCCGGCTGGGGGCGTGGTCATGAGGTGGTTCTCGGGTGGGCGAGTCCATCGCGGCAGGGCCGGGGGGGGGCGTGGGGGACGTACCAACTGAGCGCGCGGGGAGGAGGGTCACAGCGCCCCCGCGCGGCCGCGGGAGGAGCTGCGGGCGCCGCTCCCGGCGCTTCCCCATCCCGGCCCTTCCCCATCCCGGCCCCGCGGGTTCATCCCTTGTTTTTATGTGCCATTTTGGGGGATTTAGGGCTGAACGAGGCGCTCCCGAGCCGGGCCGGGCTGGCCGGCAGATGAGGAGGCGCCTTCCCGCCCGCAGCCCCCCCCCGGAGCGATGACAGGGCACGGACACGGGTGTTGTGAGGGACGAGTTTAATCCAACACGCTGGGGAGGGAAACAGTGCGTTTAACTTTGCAAACAGGAATATTTACACGTGTCGGCGTTAAATAACGGTGTAAAACGCGGCGGGTGCCGAGGGAAGCTCGAGGATGCTGAGGCGGGAGCTGGTTCCCCACAGGCAGCTCCCACTGCCCTCAAAAGTCATTGTCCCATCAATAAAAGACACCCATAATAAAAGACACCCATAACACATCGCCAAGAAAGGCCAGACGTTGAAATTACAGATACAAACGTTAAAATAAATTAATCAGGGAAGCTCCCAGTCGCTCAGCTGTACCCGTGCTCTCCCTGCGCGGTCACGGCAACTTTGTCGTTGGATCTCACACCCAGAAAATTTGGGGATAAAGTTAAAAAGCTGCACCGATCAAGGCAGCTGAACCCCTGGGTGTATCTTGCTGATATTCCAGTAAGGAATAATGTCGCCTTTGCAGTCTGTAGGAAGAGCTTTGGAACCCCCTGCATGTTTAGTGACTGAAATAAATTCTGTCTCAGTTGGAGAAATGCTCTGAACAGCTTCAGGCTGCGACAGAGGATGACTGAGGTGCTCCCCGCACATTCATCACTCCTCCAAGTCAGTTTTCCTCTGTGCTCAGGTGCCACCCTGGAGCATTCCCCATTAATATCTAGGCTATGTATAGTACCAGCTTTTGGACCATAATACCTTTGTTGCATTCCTGTGTTAAACCCAAAAATTAGCTTTGCAGCTGCCTGGAAAAAAATACTGTAATTACAAATTTTGAGTAAAATCCTCAGGAAACAGTTGATCATAAGCTACAGAATGTTGTGCAGCTAAATTTGAAGAGAGACTTTACATGCCTGAATAGAAAAAAATAAAAAAGGAAAAGACATTTATCTGACCTATAGAGAGAATGAAAAATAAGAAATAAGTCAGATAATAAAACCATTTTGCTCTTATATACAGCAAATATTCCTGCCCAGCCACTCTGACATTTCCAGGCAGGATCTGAACAGTGGAGAAGAAAGAATAGATTTAATTCTACAAATCTTCTCCTGCATCTGCTGTTGTCTGGATTTTCACCTGCTCAAATTGCACCAGCACCCCGGGAACTCTGAGCAGGAGTTCTGAGGTGACTGAAAATTGGTGTCACTGAGCCAGTTTTGCTTCCCTTTGGCTGCCAAAGGGGCAACAACAGTGGAAAATGTGCGAAAACGGTGACATTCCACCTCTCATTCCATCATTGCTCTGAACTGCTGCGTGTACTTGGACAGTTCCTCGGTCCGATCCTGAAGTTCCCGCGTGGCGTCCGCGTTGGGATATTTTATGGCAGCGTTTTTGGTGGCCAGAGCCAGGTTCTTCAAGAGGCTGCAGAACCGGCTGCTGCTGTGGAGGACGTCACTCCGGGCATCCCTCTCCTGAGTCTCCTGGCACAGAGAATCCACCAGCTTCTGCCCCACCATGATGATCAGCTTGCTGTGGGAGATGAACACTTCGGGGGGTTGGTTGTTGTTCAGGCTGTTGGTGAACACCCCGATGGCTTTGTGCAGGGCAGCGAAACACAGCCTGCAGTGCTCGGGCAGAGGGATTTTCTTGGCACAGTCCTGCTTGCTCTGAATTCCAGCCTTTTTGGCAGTTGGCAAAGCCTGGAGAAAAGTTTAAAAAATTATTCATCTTGGTGTCACACACTGATTGTTTCTTTCATTGCTCCAACCCAAACTCTTATTTCATTCTCTCCAAATTGCCCCAGCCCAGGAGTTTTTACAATAACTTCTCTTCCCATAAAGTATTGGAAATTCTCCCAATTGCTTTTTTGCCCCTAAATACGATTTGAATAATGGATAGCACACAAAGTGCTGCAGCCAAACACCAATCCTCTACACAGTCTGGACTTGAAGCTTTCAGATAGTACAAAACATTGATCTTTAGTGGGGTTACGAATTATTAAAATGGGCAAAACAAGAGTCAATTTTGTACCAGTGCATGACAAGATATTTTGAAATACTAATCCTCACAGCCTTATCCCAAATGATGCACAAAGGCAAGAAAATAAATAGTATGACTCTGAACTGGAAGGGTTCATTAGGTTTGAGGAAAATAAATGTTTTTCACAATTTTCAGCAGTAATTCTAAGAATGAGTTCTGGGAAATGAACCATGAGAAGCAAATAGATTATGGATAGAGATGTGTGTCTGAATGCAAATTACTTTGAATTTTGGCAAGCACAGAAATCGGGGACTAGAAGTCCTGGTAAATAATAGCTTTCAAAGTCAGAAATACCTTTGGTTTTGAATCTGTGCTCTTCTTTGCTACTTCTTTACCTGAAATGATTTTCTGTGCCTGTTATAAATTAAAATGAAAGCAAAGTTGAAATGACTTACATAAAATATTTAAATATAAATGTGGTTTTCTCTTATTTCATGGGGAAACAACTACTTTCTCTGCAGCTTTCATGTCATGGACAACAATGGTACATTTACTGGAAGCAACTGTAAGTTTTTTCCTGTTAAAAATGTGGTGTCTCATCCTGCAGGATACAAGACTGAAAGCAACATCCACAAAATAACCTTTCCTAAATCCTAAGGACATGCCAGCATTTCTCTGTGAAACCAAGAGAGATATTCTTAGTAGATATTTCAGTAGTTCTAAGGAGAATGGTTCTAACAAACATCTGGAATGATTCTAAACAAACAAATCTGATAATTCACAGTAAGAGTTTGATTTGTTACAGCAAAATTTTCTATGAAAGCATGGCTTTCAATACACTTCGAGTAAGAAAGTAACATTTCTTGTCCAGTCATGTCAGAGCCAAACACAATGAACTGGCAAGAAGAGAACAAAAAGGCAAAAGAGAAGAAAGGATTTGAAAACCCCCAGCTAAAACCTGTCTCCCAAATGATTTTAAACAGATGATAAAGATGTTCTGTTGGTCTTGGCTGGATAAAATCTCAAACTCCAGTTTTCTTTATTGATTAAAATGACTCTCCTTCCACATGTGCCACCCAACACTGTAACAAAATCCTGAGTTACCATAAAGTCTGGAAAATGGGATGCAAACTGAATCTGGCACTGATGCAAAGGCAAAAATAGTGCCAGTAGCTTAATATCTGCAAACAGTGAAGAACATGGATAGTAAACCCCAGTTTTACTGACCTGTAACTGCACATAATCACAGTCCTCAGTGGCATTTTCCTCCTGTTTCTCCAAAGGCACCCAGCTCTGGCTGGGTTTGTCAGGAACATTTCTCTGGAGTGACTCTATCTCTATTCTTCTTGGCACTGGGATTTGTTTTGCCATTTTGTATTCTGGGCTCCCTTTTGGCTGCTTTATTTCTTGTTCCCTCTCGTTCTTTCTGAAGAGCAGCTTCCCGTTGGCGATGATGATGGACACAAACCTCTTGATGTCGTCGGGAACCGTGCGGGCCACCATGACGAAGCGGTCCAGGTCGTCTGGGTTGTTCTGGGGGCTCCTGAGGACCAAGGCCTCAAGTGACCACTTGCAGTTGTTTAGAGCTTCCCTTGTCTCCGTTAAAATTTGGAAGGAGTTCACAAGGATCTCTAACTGCTTTTTAATCCTGGTCTGAAGGTTGCTGTCAGTGAGGCGAGAGGCATTTCCCTTTATGGCTTGGGCAAAGGCCAGGAATTCTCCCAGTGACACCTTGATGTGATCCACGGCTCTGTGGATTTCCTCAATGCTCTTCTCCAGGTGCTCCTGCAGTCGCCACTTACTGCTCACAAAGATCATTAAACTTGCAACTGAGCTGGACACGCTGTGCTGCAGCCTGGTCAGTGTCTCTATGGCTACTTCAAGGTCCACTTTGATTTCTTTGCCAGGCTCTTCTGATGGTGAGGACGTAGAAGATAACTCAGCAGATGAGTTGGAGGATGTGGAGAGTGTGCTGCTCCTGCTGTCCACACTAGAAACAGATGAGACGTCTCGTCCTAATTTGGCACCTCTGGAGAGCTTTGGAGAAGCACCATGTGCTTGTTCTCCAGAGCTGTCACTGTTGTTTTCCATCTCTTTCTTGGGTTGCCCAGGGGTGGGCAAACCTTTTGGAATATCATAAACATTCCCTTCAGAGAGCTGACTCTCAGCCTTTGGAGCCAGGAGACTCGGGGGTACATCACAGCTACTGCTCTGTGCCAAAAGGAGCACGTCCCGTGAGGATGGAACGTCATAAAGAGGGATATCTGGAAGTGTTAATTTCCGTTGTGCCGGTGGGATATTGTATAATTGTGGATTTACCACTTTGGCTTCAGCATTTGTTGCTGGCACCTTGTACCTGGTTGGGGGGATATCATACAGCACCTGGTTCTCCAAGGAGTGGCCAGAAGGGTGCTGCTTTAATCCTGATTTTTCAGGTGATACTGGAATATCATAAATCCATTCTGACTTCCGAGGGTTTGGCAAAGTATTGTAATGTCCCCAGCACTTTTTCGGAGATTTGTTTTCTGAGGCATCAGTTTCTCTCTTGGGAGGGACATCATACAACTGCAACAGAGCACAGAGGGTTTATAAACCAGGAGCACAGAAGGTTTATAGATCACCTTTCTAAACAAGAAGTGAGAAACAAAACTGAATTCTCAGAGCACATAAACGTGTGCAACTCCACTGGTGTCAGTGGAACTGCACCACGAAAGGGCTGGCCCACGTTTTTTATTTTCTAAAACACACAAGCTGCACATATAAAAGGTAAAATATTTTGAGCCCAGGTGATTAGATCATACAGCAGTGTACCCAGCCGGGAACATCTGTAGACACTTGATTTTTTTCCCATTCATTTGCATAATCTGTCAAAAAATACCCTAGGCATGTGCACTAAGGAGCCTGTCAAAATCCTCTGGGATCCTACAGCCATTCGGGAAACCTGAAATACTCGGCACTCAACTAATAAAAAGTTTCCACTGAGGCATTTTCTTAGTTGTGAAATTTCAGAGTAGCCCTTTCTTCAAGGATAGTGCTTGGCAAACACTTGGGGGAGAGATGGGAAACCTGCCCCTCAGCCCAAGCCAGGTGTCACAGCACTGACAGATCATGTCCAACAAATCTTACTTACGTTGCCTGCTGGTGAGTCTTTCTGGATCCCAGCTCCTGCCTTTTCTGGGCTGGATGGGATGTTGTAAAGCTGCTCCTGCTCTGCCTGGAAGTTCTCGGTGGGTCTGACTGGCATGGAGCCCTTCCGTGTGGTGGGTGGAGTGGCACCGCTCTGGGAAAAGGGGAAAAAAACCCTGGGTGACTTTGATCCTTTTTAGAGCCCACCGAAGACTCTGGTGGAATCAAAGGCTTGTGGGAGCAGCTCCTGGTTTGGACAGCGTGGGTCACCCTCAGCCTGCAGGGGAGATGCTGGAGCCTTCCTGCAGCGCTGGGTGTGAGGGTGAGGCAGCCACCACTGGCACATCTGGCTTTGGGTCTGAGCAGGAATCACCCACTTACAAAAGGAGCTAACTCCAGGAAATCTGTGGATACCTTGATAATGATGGAATGGGCTCAATCCTACCCTGCCAGCTGCTGCCAGGATAAAGCACGTGGGGAGGCTCCATGGACCTGCTCCAGTCCCACCCACACCTTGCGTGGGAGGTGACAGGATGGGGCTGGGGCCTGGTGTCTGTCCCATCCTGGTGACCTGAGAACTCAAGGGAATGTGACATTCCCTCTCCTCAGGGAAGCACAGAGATACCGAGAGCAGGATGAGGCAACAGGAGACATTGGTGGTGGATGTGATCCACATGTTGCCCTCACCCTGGTCATGTCACACACCCATGGCGTGTTCTTCCCCACGGTGGGTAGGTGGGGTGGGCGACATTTAGGTTTTTTTTGAACATGCACTTGTGACTCTTCTGTAAACACCCTGAAATCATCCTGATCAAATGACACAGACACAGAGCACATTTCCTCCTGGATTCCAGGGCAGAGAGGGTGACACACTGATACTGAGAATTCTGTAGAACATCAGTAGTGTCAGTCTCTCTGACTTGGAATCCAGGAGGAAATGCCTTACTAATGGTAAAACTGAAAGTGTTCATTAGAAACATACCAAATTTAGGACCAGTTTATCGGAATTTCTAAGAAACTCAGGAGAACTGCTTCAAGTTTTGAGCTAAAAATAGATTATTTTCTTCCCAATTTTATGAAAAGCGATCAGGGAGACACTGGAATTCGCCTCAAAATCTACTCTGAGGTTTTACAGTGTGCCAGCTGCAGGGAGAGCACCGTGGCAGGACTCACCCGTGTGAGCAGGGACTCCCGGCGCTGTGTGGAGGGAACGTCGTACACCTCACTCCTGATATTTGGGGTTGACGCCCGGCAGGCCCTCGGGAGAGTAAACAGATGCTTGGAGGGGGAGAAAAACAATAATGAGAAAGCTGCACTGAGCAGGAAGCTCAGGATATCTTTGGAAACTCTTTTAGCTGGATAGGCCACCGTTGGAGTAATCACTCTTAAGTGATTAAAAACCTTCAGCTCTTCACTGAAGCTGAGGCAGGAACTGAGCTTAGAAGCAGGCATGGTATTCTTCCCCCACAGTTCTCCTTTGCCAGCATTTCTGCTGTATTTCAGGTGAGATAAGAACTGGCACATACAAATCAGAGACAATCTGCCTGAGTAACCACGGGAGTGAAAAGATTTGGAGAAAATCCAGCTTCACCTATAACTTCACCAATCTTTAGACTAACCAAAAGCAGAACCACCGAAAAAAGGAAGTGGGGAAATTTCTGCTTCTCCAGGCTCACAGAGCCATGGGGTCAAGCCATATTTAGTGTAAGAGCAGCAAAAAGGTGCAGGCTGAGCATTATTCTGTAGTTATGAAAGACTGACTCATTTGGAAGGACTAAACCTTGATGTCCTGTTAGCTCCATGAACAGGGAAGTCTGATATGAGAATTACATTATTGGTCTGTAGTCAAATTCTCCTGTTTGCTTAAAACATAATTTGAGAAGGCATGACCACATCTTTGGGACAATTAGTTAAGGTCCCAAAATATGAATGTTGAATAGGATTTGGGGTTTTTTAACCAATCAGTTTTGTTCCTTCAGCCTGTCTTTATCTCGGCTGTCCTCAGCTAGATTATAAATAGACCTTTTCAAGCCACTGACCCACAAAAACACCACTGGAGATGAGATGTTACAATAATTATTTGAAATTAGAGGTAGTGATCTCCATGTGAGTGTTGTAGTAAGGTAATTTAGGGGAAATATGGTAGAGGAACTAGACTTCAGCCTTACAACTGCCTGTTTCAGCTTTGTGAAAACTCTTAGCTCTCATCTGAAGAAAGGAGAGGAGGAGTGAAGATAAATCCTCTTAGTGCTCTATGATACAGAATCATCGAATCTCTGAATGGTTTGGGTTGGAAGGGACCTTAAAGGCTGTCCAGTTACATCCCCTGCATGGGCAGGGCTACCTTCCACTATCCCAGGCTGCTCCAAGCCCAACCCAGCCTGGCCTTGGACACTTCCAGGGATGGGGCAGCCAGAATTTCTCTGGGCAAACTGTGCCAGGGCCTGAATATATGAGCATCTTTACTTCCAAACAGAAGTGTAAAAGAGAATTCCCTGAGCAGAAAGGGTAAAACATTAGAGCTATCAAGAAAATCATCCTTAGCCCAGCTCTGTTTTCAGATGGACAAATCTCACTATGCGGCAAAAATGAAACTCACTGGATATCACATCCTACTACTTTTTAAAGTCCTTTCAGTGACAGTAAAACATGAAGGTGCTCTGTGCACAGGCTCTGAGGGATTTTGTTTTGTTTTATTGCTTTCAATCACAATGGTTTTACCCAGCTGCTCAGAGGGCAGCTGAGCATGCCAGGAGCTTTGCCAGTTGTCCCACAGGGTCTCTGTGGGGCAGTCCGAGTGTTGCAGTTCGTCCTGGCCTTGCTCAGGCTGCTCTCCCCAAGCCTCCCCTGCATCTGGGCATAGCTTGTGACCACCACAGTGCAGTTGGTGTAGGAACAGCTGTGACACTGTGCAAGACACAGCTCAACTCTGAATCTCTAGGTCATAAATGCAGGCTGGGATGTTTCCTTTTCATTTTTGGTTAGAGTAGACAAGGCTTAGGTGTGTAAACTCAGGAAATGAGACAAGAAGAGCCAAGGAGCTCTTCTGTTGGGTCATTCATTCAGACAATGAATAGATGAACATTCTCCACCTGATTTGCTGGCACAATGTGGAAAATTTGTCCCAATCTCGCATTCAGTTTGCAAGTGGCTCCTTTAGGATCAGGAACGTGGAGAAATTGGATCACAGTAAGCGCAAAAGGGTCCTTTGTAACTCTTAGCTTGAACTTGCAGTTATGGGAACTGCAAGGTCTGCACTGCAGCTGCAGTGCTGAAAATTAGGTTTCAGTCACCAGGGTTGCATTGAGTGTGTCTGTTTTCCAACACCCATCTGCCACACAGCAGGAAGCAGCACCTTGGTTTCCATGACTCGCCTCCCAGCACAGGGGGAGGAAAGGTGGCCCCATAAATCAAATGATCATTAAATCAGCCTGAAAGACTGTATATCTCAGGGCTCAATTTCCTTCCTTTTCCTTTTTCAATTAGTATTTCTAATGTGATTTTCCTATACAGAATAAATTGCCACCCAGGGCTGAAGAGCTCATGGAACTGAACAAAAACCTTGAACTCCGTCCTCATTTTCTCTGTTTACCTTTCATTATAAAACATTCTCCATTCATTTTTTCTGGAAGAAAGCACAATTTTTTGATCTTAAGACAACTGATACAACATGTACATGTTCCGTGTGCAGATGGATGTAAAGACCCCACATGTGCCCAGGGGACTCTGGATGGTCACATGCTGTGAACAATCAGAGGAGAAAGTTCTGTGTCTTGTTATTTTAACTTTGGGCAAGGTTTGTAAATAATTTATAGATTCTCCCAAACAAATGGTATATTCTTTGCTTCCTGCCCCGTTTTACAGCTGCTTTAAACTGTCAAAAAAATGAGAGACTACAGAATATAGAGACTCTCATATGTTGCTCAGAGCAGCGTTTCTCACATAATGCTGTAAACTGTAGTAGAATTGATGGGAGTTTCCTAAACACCATCATTCTTTTGCTGCAAATTCCACTGAAAAGCTCAGCCTTTGCTATTTTCCCACTCCCAATGACTGTTTCAATAATAACATCTGTTACTTTCAGAGGTGTTTGTCTTACCTGGTGTATGGAGCTTTTGGTCCTCTCACTGAGCAGCTGCGCAGCCAAGGCTGGCACCTGATATATGGCTTGGGCAGGCGTGGCAGAGAGCCTGGTTGGGGATTTGACCCACCCTTCCATCTTCTCGTAGGTGGACGACACCACGGTGGGTTTGGGGCCGGAGGGAACCTGGTAGATGTTTTGTTGGCCCGCTGGCAGCTCCGAGGGGTCGCTCCGGGTGGAAGGAGGCAGCAGAATGGTGGGAGAGAGCAGCTGGAGCCGGTTGGCAGGGGCCAGGCCCTGCCTGCCATGAAGGGAGCACTTCCACCAGCCCTCACTGCCGAGGATGTGCTGGTCCAGCACGGTCAGGATGTCTCCCTTGCGGAAGGCCAGCTCATCCGAGCACTCGGCGTTGTTGTCGTACAGCGCCTTGGCCAGGGTGTTCTGGGGACACAGAGAACACCAGCATTGCACTGTTACACCTACAGCAGTGTTCACTGGGATCTGGTTTGGGGTTTATCCCCACCTCGATTTCAATTTAATTCAAGCACGGCTGCTTTCACACCAAACCACCTTTCTCAGAGCACTGGTCTCAGAGGGTTAAACTTCTGCCTGTGCAAACTTCAGTGCAAACTTTAGCCTGTGCCTGCTATGTTCAGTGCATAAAGAAATAGATAATAATAATTAAACACTAAGGTTCAATCCCCTTTCAGTCCTCTGTTCAATCCCCTGCATGGGTCATTCACTTAAGAGTTGGACTTGATGATCCTTGTGTGTCCTTTCCAACTCAGAACATTCAGTGATTCTGCAATAATACTACAATATATTTCTTCAGCACCTTTTCCCCATGAGGCTCTTAGAGAGCACTGCTAATATTCATTATTTAGACATATTATATTAGACATATATATATGACACTTATAAGCTAAAACACAAGAAGTTCCATCTCAACATGAGGAAGAACTTCTTTCCATGGAGGGTTTGGCAGAGCACTGGAACAGCTGCGCAGGGAGAATGGAGAGTCTCCCTCTCTGGAGACATTCCAAACCCACCTGGGTGTGTTCCTGTGTTATCTGCTCCAGGTGACCCTGCCTGGGCAGGGAATTGGACTGAATGGTCTCCAGAGGTCCCTTCCAACATTAATGATTCTGTGACTAGTTATGAACATTCCTATATAAAGAAGAAGTGTTTTTCCCATTGTCATTCTGTGAATTCTTCATTTCATTCCCTGCCATGGGCAGGGACACCTTCCACTAGCCCAGGCTGCTCCAAGCCCTGTCCAACCTGGCCTTGAACACTTCCAGGGATGGGGCAGCCACAACTTCTCTGGGCAACCTGTGCCAGGGCCTCACCACCCTCACAGGGAAGAATTCCTTCCTGACACCTAATCTAAACCTCCTCTCTGTCAGCTGGAAGATGTCAGTTAAAAAAATAAAAAGTATTAACAGCAGGTGGCTTCAGTAACCTGAGGTATTTGTGCAAAGGGTAGAGAAAGCTGTGGATGAAGGTTTTTTTCAGTACAACACAGAGTTTGCTTTCAGCTTTAAAATGGGACTCTGCTTCCCAGGCAGAGGGACACTGGCTGTGTCTCACTGTGAGTTTATCACAAAGTGCAAGTAATGCCCAAAGAGATAGCACCCAAATAGGAGACGTGATGCCTTGTATTTTTGTCCAGAGCATTTGCTGTAAAGCAACAGCTGGTTTGAAGCTGCAGCAGAAGAACCCCAATTTGTCAGCTCAGCTGGTGAGAAGGGCCCGTTGTTGGCTGCACACAATCCGTGCTCGGGGTGGCCACAAACAATGGCCTGTTTGTGAGCCGTGGGCTCGTCCCTCAGCAGCTGCCAGGGGGGGACAACAGCCCCTTTTACCTTGTGTCCCAGCCTGGTTTTAGCCCTGAACATGGGAGTCCCCTTTCTGTTTGGACAATGCCAAATGTTGCAGTCAGGCCCCCAGGAATCCCCCCACAAGCACAGCCTGGGGCTGGCCTGGGCTTCACACGTTGTTGCAATTGTGGGGAAAAAAAAAAAAAAAAAGGAAAACAACCAGCTTTTCCTATTATTCATCAACACTTTGAGATCCTTGTTGCTGGACGCTGTACAGACCCACTGAAGAGTGTTCACCCTGTTCTTCATCCCTGAGGAGGATGAGCAGAGGAATTCTCTCGCTCTTTTCCAGCGTGAAGAGCCTTATCCAGGCACACGCAGGAAATGGGTGGCAGGGGCAGGAAGCCTGAACTCGGAAGTGGAGCCTGGCAAAAAGAAGACTGTCCTTCCTAATTGCACCAACACAAACAAGAGGGACATTTGGTTCACTGTGTAGTTTTAAAAGGCATCTAAATGTTGACATTCCTCCAGCTGTCTTTCCTGTGGCAGCAGCACACTGAAAATGTTGCTGGGCCTAATTCTTTAATCAAACAATGTATGAAACAACACGTCTATTTTCAAATCCCATTTCTTTTAGAGTGAGTATGCATCCAGCCCAGAAATATCAATTCACATCTAGTCTGCACGTGGTAAGTAGAGTTACTAAGAAGCCATAGGACGCCATCCTTGTTCCAGTTTGCCTTCCAAAAATACCTCATTTTTAAAGACAACTCATCCCAGCCAATTTATTTTGTGAATACAACAACAGGAGGAGAAATTCTATAGACAACATTTCCAGGAGGTGGGTGCTTGATCTGACTGCACAGATTGCTGAGGTCCAGCAAGCCTGTCTCCAGTGATGTGGAGTGAGGTTGTCTGTACTCCAGGCTCTGGATCATATAATGTTTGCCAGAAATCCAGCCCTATCTACACTCTCAGCTCTCTGAGACATGTGTGAGGGATCACTGTGACAGTCCCTTCCTATCATAAGCAGAAGCATCTCTGACCTGCCAGTGACTATAAACAAGAACTGCATTCCCAGGGTTGCAGAGACCTTTGGGGATGCTCAGCTCAGAGGAGGCCGTGCTTTGAGGGCAGTGGCATCTGCATTTTTTCCCTGTTAGCCAGAGGAAATTGTCTGTCCAACGTGTCACCCACAACGTGCCAGCCAGGGCCAGCTGGGTGGAGCTCTTTGGTATTTTATGTGATCTTGTTAATCTGTCCTTACAATAACCAATGTGTAATAAGCACTAAACCAACACAGACGAGATCAAAGTGTTTTTCCTCCTTTGACATTTGTTGTTTCATCCCTTTCATTAGCACCGAAAAAACTCTCCTAAGACAAAGAACATCCTAAAAAGCTGTTCTAGCCTCACGAGAGAGCACCTTGGCTGTGACTTTTCTCTCACTGAGCAGATTTTAATGAGATGATGGCAGAGCACAGACCTCTAAAACAGAGGCTGTGTCCCCTGCAGCCCCTTCCCGAGGCTTTGTGCCCCCTCCAGAGCCCAGGACTGCCCGAGGGCAATGCAAATTTGTCACACGCTGAAGGGTTTTACAGTGCCCTGGAAACAGCTTCAGTTGAAAAGTTCCAGTGTAGATGGAAGTGTTTCTCCTTCGTTTGACTGTGGATCTGATGCTGAGAGACTAAATTCCTCCTGCAAACTGGACTTTTTACACTTTACTGTTTGCATACCCTTATCCAACCATGCTCCCCCTATAAAACCCAACAGCCCTTGAGAGTCATAGAAGTGAAAGCTGTTAACTCATGTTTATTAATGAAGAGAGGGGAAATTTTAATTAAGAAGCAGTGAAGATGATCAGTGTACAGTTCTATAATATAAAATTCTATACTCTCAAAATGGGAGTACTCACAGACTGACTCTGTACACACAACAGGAAAAAACACCCCACTAGTACCAAGATCTCCTGATCCCTCTCCTATCCCAAGGCCAATCCTCAGCCTATAGGACTATGCAACAGAAAAAAATATCCTTATAAAACATATGCAACTGTTGCTAGAAAAATCCAAGTGATACCCAGTGATGTGTGCCAAGTGACAGTTTGAGTATTTTTCCTGAAAGCCTGACACAATAATTTCTCTACCTCCCCTTCCCACTCAGTTTGTGTTCAGAAATGTCAACTTATTACCACAGGTTATTTCACATGATACACGGGTAAGGCACTACGTCACAGCATCTCAAATAAAACAGTGTTTTTCATTTAGTGTCTTCAATTTGCTTCTTGAAAAACCTATTGAAGTAATGTAAATAAAGAGACAACTTTAATCATGGGAGGTTTTGTGTGGATCAAGGTAATTTTTTCTCAGCTGCATTTTGCACATAAATATCTGTGTAAGCACTTTTACTGCAGGAAAACGGGACTTAAAATATTTGAGGAGGAAGAGACACAGCTAAAGGCGTCGGGTTGTGTTTGCTAAACAGTTCTGCTCATGCATCAGTGACACCTCTGACATGTTTACAGAGCGGCTTCCAGTTAATCTCTTCATCTCCCAACAAAGCCGGAGGAATAAACATTCTCCATCGTCCATTAGCTGGGAACAGGCTTCCCAGAGAATTCCCTTTTAAACAGCAAACGACTTCGAGTCATTTCAGTTTTGCCCAGTTACTTGTAGACAGTTCCCATCGTCAACAACCCCAGGAAAAAGGAGAATTTACCTTAAACGATCAGATCTTTCTTTACGTGGAGGTGCCTCCCTGTGGCCATGGGGCTGCACATCCCTCTGATGTGCAGCGTTTCCTGTGACTTGCAGAAGGTCCTTCTACTGCATTTTTTTGGTTTGTTTATGTATTTTGGAAAATAAAAGTTCATGTCATACAGAAGTTTTGTGTGAGCTGCAATGAGGAACCCTTGTCAAGACTTGCTTTAGTTGCCTATCCAACAGTTAATTGATTTTGGGAGGGTGGAACCAGGTGCTAACCAGCAGGTTTTAAATTCTCAAATGGTCAAATCAGTTCTTGATAAAGAGTTCTTGATAAAAGCAGGACCACTTAGAAATCCTGCAGCTTCACCCAAGTCAGTGCTGCACGAGTGGCAAATACAAGCTGGTTCCGTTAATTTTCCCCAAACTCTCTTTTCTCCACAAATCTAGTTAATCAAATTCTAGCTGTGATAAAATCAATAAAGCTGGCAAGTGCAATCAGGATTTCACACCATTCACAGCATTTTTGCATCTGTGGTCTCATGGCCAAGTTCAAGGGAAAATAAACTGCCATTTCCTGTTGTTTCGAACCCTGACTCTGCGTGTAGTTCTGGGATTTGGGTCCTCCTACTAACCGAAGTTTTTTGCCCATATGCACCCAATTACTTTACTTTTTAAAGTATCTTAATTATGTTTTACAACAACATCTATTTCCAAACATGGATTTACAGACACAGAAAGTTCTGATGAGTACAAGTTCTCTCCTGTTCCTCAGAAATAGATGCTGCACAGCCACTCCTTAAAGCAAGGTCCTTGCCTTCCTTCTTCTCCCTGCTCAGGGAACACGCAAAAAATTCCTGGAGCAGGTTGTCAGGAGCAAATTGCACATTTTTCACGGGCAGGGACTGCTGTGTGTTCCT